GAGTTCAGGAAAGAGAACACCCTGGGGACATTGTTCTCTCAGCTTCACAGAGGCATGAGGGGCTGACATTGGGGGACTCACCATGCCTCCTTAGCATCTCAGTCTCCTACCAAACCAGTGCTGGGGATGAGAGGACAATGGTTGCTTCTGAGGGAAGAGCTAAACTTGGGTTACTGGAGCAAGGGTTTTGACCTAAGGAGAAAAACCTAGGAGGTGGAAGTAGGCAGTCCTACAGCTTTCGAGCTTGTACCTGGACACCCTGATCCCAGAAGGCCTGAGTGTCTGCTGTAGCATACAGTCTGAAATGTGAAAGGCCTGATGCCCCGCCTGTGCTGCTGTTGGGATGTGGTGGAGCCCTTAGGAGGCGGGGCCTCATGAAAGGAAGTTAGGTTATAGGAAGCAAGCCCTTGAAGCCCTTTTCTGTCTCTTTCTTTGCTTCCTAGCCACCAAGGGGCTCCTGCTGTGACACACTTTGCTACCACGGGGCTAAGGGGCTGGAGGGTACCCAGATAAACCTTCATCCTTGTAAGTGGATCACCCCAGGCAATGTCTTGGTGATAAAAAGCCAACGAACAGCGTCCAAAGGTGCTTTCTGCAGGGACAACTTATCTTTCTGGTATTGGTGACACAGGCTAAGTTGGTGACCTCCTCCACCCTAATCGTTCTTGAATTAAGAAACGCCTAGGGTTGGAGTGGGTATAGCTCATTGTGGGAAAGCATTTGTTTAGCATGTATAGAGCCTTGGGTTTAACCCCCAATACCTCCTAAAATGGGGTATACTTGCCATCCACACACTTGGGAAGTGGAGACAGGCTTACAGACAATTCAAGACAGTCCTTTGTTATGAAACGAGTTCAAAGCCAGTCTCAATTCACTGAGACCTGGAACCCCTGTATCAAAAAGTAAAGAAACACCTCTGGGTGTGTCTCCAGGGAGGATTAAATGAGGCAGAAAGAACCACCCTAAGTGTGCAGAGCCCCCTCAGACAGGATGGGGTCCCGGGCTGGCAAAGGAGGGGAGGAGGAGACATTGTGCTAACAGAGCAAGTGAGGTGGATACTCGGCCCTAGGGTGTGGGGGGCAGGGGAGGAGCAAAGCTAGCCCATCTCTGTGTCTTGGCCACAGCTCTTGTTCCTTTCTCGTTGGCCAACACTGCGGGTCTAAGGGCCTGGCTCGAACTCTGGCACTTCTTCTCCCTGACTAAGAGAGGATGCAGGTTCCAAGCTCGATCCAATTAGACCGCCTCCTTTGAAAGCCAAACCCCAGCTGCCCTACTTTGCCTTAGGGTATCTCCCTGGCATCTCATCAGCAAAGGAGCCTGTCTCCTTCACATCCCTTCCTAGGGCCTTTGATATCTGTGTGTGCGGGAAGGAGAAGGGAATAATTAACAAATTAATTAATTGTCCTTTATTTCCACTTCAAACAAATAAGGTAATTTTTAATGGAACATGTTAGACACGAATAAAAAGGCCATTAATGACCATTAAAAAATGAGCTCAGGCCTCCAGTCGGCAAGTGGACATTCAGGGACTTCCCAACCCTCCAGGCATCTCATGAACACATTAACTCCTCCGAGAGCTGAGCACCTTGTAGCCTGGCTTACAGATACAACTCTATGTGGATGCCTGTCTCCAGAAGGAAGGACAGGATTCTTACTATGTCAGTAATCTATATGCCAGAAGTAATCCATCTATGCCAGAAGGCTCTCAGGAAGATGTCTGCATACCCAAATCTATAGCAACATCATCTGTGACATCATAGCAACATTATCCGTGACTCAAACATCAAGGCCCAGCTGAATGAATGGACACAGTGTGGTATGCCCACACAATGGAATATTACTCTGCCTTTAAAAGGGAGGAAACCCTGACACGCTCTTCAGCGTGGATAAACCATGAGGGCATTATGCCAATCACAAAACCACAAATGCTATGTGATTCTGCACAAATGTGGTCCCTAAAAAATCAGACACTAGAATGAAGGGCCGGGAGGGGAGGGAAGTATGATTGTTCAGTGGCCATGGGGTTTCATGTCAGGGTGCTGGGAAGAGTTCTGGGGATGGCTGGTGGTGATGGCTGCACAGCCGTGTGAAATGGATTACGTGTGGTGGACTGAACTTGACCGGTGAAAGCTGGTCACGTAGCAGGCGATGGATGACGTTGATAGATGGCGAATGTGTAGTGACCAGAAGCTCCCAGAATTCACCCTGCTTCTCCCGTAGGAGCATCCTAGTTCACACTGCATGGATGTAGCCTTTGCAATGGCTTCAGTGACCAAAGTCACGGTGCAGACCTGATGCCAGCATGTTTTCTTCATGTTGGTCAGCTGACTCTGATTCCCTAGTCACGTGCCGACGTGTACAGTCACTGACTTCTCAACCTCAACCTAACTTAGGTTCCCACACTTTGTCTGTCTGCCTAGCATGCTTGAGGATTGGGTTCCTTCAGCACCAGACAAAGAGCCTCTGACTAAACCTGGGAAACAACAAGCAGTTTTCTGGCCCCTCAGAACTGTGTCCGGTCTTTAGTGCCTAGCAGGCATGCGTCTGGAGAAGGGTATTGACGAGCTCATGGTGTCTATAGGTAGCAGTCTGAGTTTAGTGCCCAGTGCGTGTGTTGGCTTGTTGGTAAAGGCTGACCTCCTGCCCGATGATCTTATGAGAGAGTCTGCCGGCAGACGAAAAACAATATTTGCCGAGCTCGCTGTGGGGTCTCTGAGTCTGTACGTCCCTCTAGGAGCGAAGGCATTTTTGAAAGTATATTTGGTTTAGAAACCACCCTTCTGATGGAAAGAGCCCCCCCTAAGAAGGGCAGTTAAATAAACTTCAGGCTGGGAAGACTCCTGTGTAGACACCACCCACGTTTCCTGGCGTGTTGAGGGTTTCCAGGCATGATCGGCTTCAATCTTCGTTTTCCACACACACCTCACTTCTGGGCTTTTCTCTTGGAAGGTGTTTCCAAAGGCTTCCTGCAAAAGATTTATCCCTACTTTGGTATATGCTGTGGCCTCCCAGTGCCTGGCTGTAGCTGACATACGACCAGTCTCTCCGAGATGTCTTAAAGGGTGTGCGGTGCTGCGGAAAGCCTGGTAGTAAAGCCAGGTGGGCTGTATGTGCTGAGAAACCAGGTCTGGCAGCCTCCTGGGGATCCTGTCAGTGTGCTTCAGGCCCATGTACTGTGTCACCTTCCTTTCTGGAGTCACCTGATCCAGGCTCCCAGGGAAGGGTCATGGACAGAGTGTGAGCTAACCAGACCTGAGTCTACAGAACAGTCTGGAATAGTTACACCCTTTGCTTCCTCCCAGAACAGGATAAGATGCCAGCCTCTCAGCCACCCAACAGAGCTGTGTCAAGTCCTGGCTGGGCTCACGGTGTATGTATCCCAGACAAGCCACCCATGACACCCCTGTACCTGAGAGTGCTGGGACCTTGTACCCAGTGGTCACACAGCTTGTCAGGGAGAATGTCAGGGAGACCATACGTGGTGGGGTGAGGGAGTAGCTGAGAAGCAGGTGGCACAGGAGGGGACAGTAGTGGAGGACGAGCACTGGCTGGGAGTTCTGGATGGTCAACAAGGGCAGGTACCATCTTAGTCTTAGGAGTGGGCTGGAAAGGATGGAAGATGTCACCTGCACTATTTTCTTACCTGGTCTGGGGATGAGAGACAAAGCCTCTTTCTGGTGGGGACACATTATATCTCAGATACTGTCTTCCTTGTGTGTCATGGCAGACAGGGAGGTATATGAGTGGCACAACTGTGTTGATGAAATAAGTGTCTGTGATGATGGAGGCTCTCTGAGGAGGGAGACCCTCTATAAGACAGGATTCGACCGTGGTGAGTGTCTTAGCTACTTTTCTATTGCTGTGAAGAGACACCATGAACAAGGAAACTTGCAAATGCAAGCATTTAATTGAAGGCTTACTGAGAGTTTCAAAGTCTATGACTGTCTTAGTTGGGGTTTCTATTCCTACACAAACATCATGACCGAGAAGCAAGTTGTGGAGGAAAAGATTTATTCAGCTTACACTTCCACTTCCACATTGCTGTTCATCACCAAAGGAAGTCAGGACAGGAACTCAAGCAGGTCAGGAAGCAGGAGCTGATGCAGAGGCCATGGAGGGATGCTACTTACTGGCTTGCTTCCCCTGGCTTGCTCAGCTTGCTTTCTTATAGAACCCAAGACCACCAGTCCAGGGATGGCACCACCCACAATGGGCTGGGCCCTCCCACCCTTGATCACTAATTGAGAAAATGCCTTGCAGCTGGATCTCATGGAGGCATTTCCTCAAGGGAGGCTCCTTTCTCTGCGATAACTCCAGCTTGTGTCAAGTTGACACACAAAACCAGCCAGTACAATGGCCATCATGGTGGGGGGTGGGGAGCAGTTATGCGTGCAGTGAGCAGGCAGGCATACACTGAAGCAGTAGCTGTGAGCTTACATCTGATTCACAAGTTGAAGGGAGAGGAAGAAAAAGGAGAGAGAGAGAGAGAGAGAGAGAGAGAGAGAGAGAGAGAGAGAGAGAGACTGGGTATAGTGTGGGCTTCTGAAATCTCAAAGCCCACACCCAGGGGCACGCCTCCTCCAACAAGGCCACGCCTCCTAATCCTTCCTTAACAGGCCACCAACTGGGAACCAAACATTCAAATATGTAAATAAGCCTACAAGAGCCATTCTCATTTAAACCACCACAGTGGAAAAGTAGTGGTGGAAAAGTAGAGAGGCCCGTAGGTGACTTAAGAGCTGTATGACTGTGGTCAGCACACAAAGACAAATGGAACAGTCGAAACCAACCTTCTGGATGCTGGTGGTAGATTTAGCCTGTGCCCTATGGCTTCATTCTGTGTGTGAGGCTGTGGGTAGAGAGCCCTCTCTGTCCTCACCTCAGATGATGCTATTGTCTTCCTGACTGTTGGCAGGGCCCCAGATGGACTTGACTCCTGAGCTTGGCTGTGGAGAAAGGAGTGTAAAGGAAGGAGAAGGCACACGTTATGGGTGATGGCAGAAATGGTGGAAGCAGCAGAAACACAGAGGAGAGATAGCGGGAACCCAAGGGATATTTCTGCAGGTGGCCATGTCTGTGTGGCCCCAGTCCTCCAGTAAGACCTTGCTTAGGACTGAGCAGAAATGACCGAGACACCTGGCCTAATAGAAGGAGAGGGTGGGGAGGCACCGGCTGCTGGAGACCTTGCCTGGCACACTGATTTCGTGGCAGCCACATCAGGGTGAGTTGTTGGCCAGAACCGCAGGCTGAGCACCATCTGTCAGGGCCTCCCTCCTGCCAGCTGCCTGTGCAGCAGGAACAGTTGGAGACAAGCAAAGATGCTCTGTGTGTGTGTGTGTGTATGTGTGTATGTGTTCTGAATGTATGTGTGTTGTGTATGTGTGTATATGTGTGTGTTGTGTATGTGTGTGGTCTGTATGTGTGTGTGTGTATACATATGCACACATGTGTGTGCGTGAGGTGTTGGAGTGTCAATGTGAGTGGGTGTCCTCTCTGGAGTTCTGAAGGTAGCCTTTGATGGGTTGTGCTGGGGGCTTTGTAGTCAAACACAGCAAACACAGATTTAAGGACGCACAGCAGGAGCATGGTGCCTGCTGGTGGCAGCTGAACACCCTGGGCTGGGCTGGTTGGGTTGAAGGTGGTCTCTGCCTCTCAGTGCTTGCCTTGGGTGAAGGATGCAGAGGCTTCCTGGCTACTGACCTCCTCAATGCTCTCTGTCCATCTGTACACAGAAGAGGAGCCTCTCCTGCTTTCTGGAAGCTTAGATGGGCTCTGACTTCCCCTGTGCATTTCCTGGGGAGGCTCATTTTTTATTCATCCATCCATCCATCCATCCATTCATTCATCCATCCATCCATCTGTCACAAGGATATACAATAGAAGATTCTGTCTTGACATTTCCCCAGGAAAGTGAGGAACAAGACCCAACTCTGCAGAAGGCTGCTTTGCAGGGGAGACAGGCAGGCCAGCAAACCATGCAGTGGTTTGTGCCAAGAATGGGGAGTGTATAAAGGGTGGGAGGTGGGCTTCTAACCTTGCCCATGTGAGTCCCCTTAGATGAAGTCACAGGGCTGTCAGCAGTGGCCAGAAGGACAGGGCAGGTGTTGAGGACTAGGAGCTATGGGGAGCCACTTTGGCTCAGTGTGACAGAGGGTTAAGGCAAGAGAGCTGTCAGGCTGGGGTCAGCGAGAGACCATGGGCTTCTAGAAAACCAAATAGCAGTCTGTCAGGGAGGCTGAGGAGAAGATTGGCCTAGACTGTATTTGTATTTGTATTTGTACTTAGCTTTCTTGATGAACAGGCGCAAATTAAGCCAAAGATGTCTTCAGTCACCAAACAGCAGGCTGGTGCCCTCCTGGGAACGGACATTAGCTTTCAGTGTCTTTGAAGACTCCACAAGCTTCTTGCTTTTTCTTTGCCTTAGGCGTGGCAGAGTGGTTTGCCTCAGGGGAAAGGAAGGGCCAAAAATACACACCTCAGTGACCACTTCCTTCAGCCAGGTCTCATCCATGAAGGGCCCATTCTACAATGGACTTATGTATCCGCTAGTCTACAGATGAAGTCAGTCTCCTCATGATCCAGTTGCCTCAGAATGGCTTTACCATCTGGAGACCAAGCCTTGAGTGTAAGAGCGTTTGTGTGGGATACTTCTGAACCTTATGTAACACTAGGTCTGCATTGCTGGGTTAGAGGGTGGTGCGTGTTACGGGGGCGAATCAGGCTGGGTAAAGTGAAGGGCTGCACTTCAGCAGGTGATCTCAGCTCACCCAGTAGATGCTAGGTGAGAGCACTGTAGAGAAGGGAGTGGACCCTGATCTTGAGTGTCAGATGACATGGTTAGGGTAGCTTCCATTTTAAAGGGACTCTTGAGGCTGCTGTGTTAAGGGCAGCACAGGAGGCACACACACACACACACACACACACAGGGGGCGCTGCGGTGGAGATGCTGGGTGTGGTGTAGATGGATCACTGTGTGGGAACTCGGGACAGATACTCTGGTAAGATTGACAAGCTGTCCTGGTGATGGCATGTGGGTGGGAACGCTCACATCGAGAACCATGCCAAGCACTTACAGCCGAGAAACAGAGAGATAGCAAGACGCCGCTTCTGTGGGGAAGACTGAAGCTAGTGAAATTTGACTTTGAATGTGTGAGATCCGGGTGCCTTGGAGCCTTGTGACGATGGATGACTGACCACTTGGAAGCTGGATCTCTGGTTCTGGAGCTGCGAGCGCGGGATCCATGTTGGAGGTGGAAAGAAGGGAATTAGCAGCACGTATGTCAAGTCCTGGTGGCAGATGGCTGTCTTCCCTGTGTCCCCACATAACCTTGCTTCTGTGAATAACTGGAGAGAGGGGCACTCACTCAGAAGAGGGCCCTGCCTCAGGACCTCATTTGACCTATGTGGAGGCTTCTCCCCAAATGGTCACACTAGAGAGGGGATAAAGGTTTCACTACACCCCATGTTCCCAGCTCAGGCACCCAGGCAGGTAAGGGGTGCACACAGACCTTGACAATAGATGGTTCAGAAACAGATAATGAATCCTGGGCTGGTTCAGACCTGTATCTACTCTACCCTAAGGTCCCTCCCCCAGCCCAGAAGGAGGCAAGGGGACAGATGGAGAGGATGCAGCCCAGGCCAGGAAACCTGGGGCAGGAGTCTGGCTAGGCTTGCTACACAGAGCCATGTACAGCTGGCATGGTCAGGAGGCATCTTGAGCTTCCTGGAGGCAGTGACATGAATATGAGGTGGCCTCTGCAGGCTCAGCCAGGAAAGCTGCCCGGGTAGTTTGGATAGAGAGCATGTACGGCAGGATTAGGATGGAGGGGCCCAGCATGTATGGGGATTGGATATCTTAATTCTCGATTGTCATCGAGGTGGGTCTATTGATGTCATAAGCAAATGGTGACTGCTGTGTAGCTGGAAAGCCTAGCAGGTGACTGTGCACACATTCACACATGCACACATGCACACATACACACATGCACACATTCACACATGCACACATGCACACACACACATTCACACATATCCACATTCACACATGCACACACACAGTTCACAATGCACACATTCACTCACACATGCACATTCACACATGCACATTCACACATGCACACATTCACACATGCACACATGCACACACACACATTCACACATGCACACACACACATACACACATGCACACATGCACACATGCACACATGCACATTCACACATATCCACATTCACACATGCACACACACAGTTCACAATGCACACATTCACACATTCACACATGCACACATGAACACATGAACACATACACACATGCACACATGCACACACACATTCACACATGCACACATGCACACACACACATTCACACATGCACACATTCACTCACACATGCACATTCACACATGCACATTCACACATGCACACATTCACACACACACATTCACACATGCACACACACACATACACACATGCACACATGCACAGCTGCTAGGACCCTCAGCTTCAGAGGCTTTCTCCACTTTCCACCGCTCCAGAACTCTGCTGTCCTCACAAGAGGGCTCCTCATGGGTCTCGACTTCTTCTGCCTGTCCTTCTCTCCCAATAGCCCACACTCCAATTCCTGCCTCTTTCAGAACAATCTGAACACTAAAGCATATAGTGGTCCTTTCTGGTCCCCACTCCTCCTTGGGTCCATCACTGTGCTAGGGGAGCCAGCAGGGCCCCTCCCAATCTCATGAAGCCCTTGGGGGACAGTAGGCTCCACCTGGAAGATGGTGTAGCTTTTTATGGCTGCACAATAAGCCCTTCCCCTACTCTACTCCTCCAAACACCACCATAGAGGATGGGCAGCCTAGGAGTGAGCGGGGGTTGCTGGAGAGCCTCTCCCATGGCACAGACCCCAGGAAAAGAGATTACGTGTGAGCCTGTACATCCTTCTGTCTGTGTCGTTAAGTTTCTTGTTACCCTGCCCCTGCCTGAGGGCTGGAAAAAATGTACCTGAGGTTCTGCCCAAAGTTTCTGAGACCACAGTAGAGGGACAGCTGTAGGTGGGGACTGGGTGCTGAGGCAAGGCCACAGGACATATCCGTGGGGCTCTTTCAGCTGTGAATTCCTGATCACATCCTAGGGCCTCCCCCTTCTCTGCCTCCTGCCTGTCTGAAGGAAGAGGCACTGGCTACTGGTACCCTCTCAGCCCTGCAGCAGTTTCCAGTGTTACACTGGATCTTTAGGACACAAGATGTAGCTTGGAAACCCACAATGGGATGATAGACCCACATTCCTGTGTCTCCCAACCCCCATATCCACCCTGTCCTGTTACCCAACACCTAGTAGTTTGAGCCTTTTGATTCATGTGCAAGTGATGCCTGTAAGCTCTTTCCCTTGTGGCCCATTTACGATGTTTTCTTCAGAATGAGAGGCAGGGGGTGATGCTGTAGGAGCCCGGGAGCTGACCCTAGGCTTCACATGAAACTGCCTTCCTTCAGTGTCAAAGGGAGCCATCCAAGAGAGACCACCTCCCTTCTGACAGCAGCCTGAAGGTTAGAGGCCTCCAGGACCATCATTAGGGCCTGATTGGTTGGAAAGACAGAGTCCAGGAAAGTCATCTTGTCCATGGTTACGTTCATCTCGATGAAACAGCACAGATTTGATCTCGCCAAAAGGAAAGACAAGAGAGATGGCAGCAAAGTGTGGAGAGGAGGTCCCTAGTGTGGAGTTGGGACTCTCGTTTTTGAGACATAGATGACAACAGTCATGGATACTACCAGCCTCAGGATCTATGGTCTACTGGGGTCCTGTACAAAGACACAGGGAAGCTCACGTGCTTAACCTCAGTCTTGTTTAACTCTCACCTCACGTTACCTTGTATATCTGGCTCAAAGCTCCCACCCCATCATGTCTCTCCATGGCTGGCCCAAGACCCCAGGCCCATGAAGACAGGCAGACCATCTACCTGCCTTGAGGCAAGAGCAGAAGCCTGATCTCCCTCCCTCCATGCAGAAAAAAATTCCTCTGTGTGTAGCCCCTGCCTCCTAAGTCAACATGACCTTGGCCTGCAGAGCAGAACCTAGGGGACAAAGAGGAGCCCAGTGCTGTTCTGCTCCCTGGGCTGGTCTGCCTTGCCTGGGACTCACCACACAGAGACACCCTTGGAATGCTAGAGAGAGACTACACATGGTCCTGCCCGGTGAAAACCTAAGAAGACCCTTGACACTGTGTTAG